ATGGGAGAAGCTGATAAGGAATGACTGTGGTAGGATAATAGGCGAATTTGGGGGATGATTGGAGAGCTGGAAGAGCCTAGAAACACAAGAAACCCTCGCGGTGGGCTCCAGTTGAAGGTACAACAATTCAGATGGTGAGTCTGAACAATGTTGGGTCTTGCAGAACCTAGCTGCTATTCGACCCTAAAGGGTTTCTGGACCAGGCTCAAGGCTCAGAGAAGAGGAAATATGATAGAAACTTGCTGAATACTCAGACTCATAGTAGAACTGGTGAAAAGGTAACTTGATTATGTAAGCTACAAAGTGCCAACATAAGGTAAGGTAAAGACAGTCTCTCCAAGCCTAGCCAGAAATGAATCCCTACACCGTTTCTGTCTGACATACTGAGGTTTACACCAGGCTGAGGACATGCAGGACAGAAGAGTGCAAGCTCCCCTGCCTTCGGCTTTCGCTTCTCATGGCCAAACCCATGCCACTTGAGCTGCTTCACTTGTCTCCACTGCCTGCCGACCCTCATCAATTCTCTGTACCGGTCCTTTCAGCTATTGTGAGCAATGCAATGCAGGAAATCCACATCACTCACTGAAACCAGATGAGGGAACATGCTTGATGTGATTCTCCTTAATTTACTGTAGTAGTTCATTGCCGATGTCCCGCATTCCAGGTTGTCCAGCAGGAAGTCGTCCAACACCGCAAATGAAAATGCTGTCTTCGGCGAAGTAAAAGATGCAGGGAAGAGGCCGGTTTCAAATAGTTGCATGTCCGGGCTCAGTGCACCAGCGCACTGACAGAATCTGATCATCATGGAGTGGAGACCGGATGTATCCACCACCATAGTCATACGAGGATCATTAACCAATGGTATCCAAGGGCCGTCTGTGAATTGGTCTCCTTCATCATCTGTGTCGCACCACTCATCTGTCAGTCCAGGGCAAGGCTGGCCTGCATGGCCAAGGTGGACTTCAAACCCAATCTTGGTCAAGGAAGTGTCTTCGAAGAATCCCCCAGTCCATTGACCGATCCAATGGAAAGGCATGCGGCTGTGAAATGTCCGACAGCAATGGGTACAGAAGAGCGGTTCACCCATGCAGCCATGACATCTGTAGACTCCATCCTTTGGACAGACAGAGCACATCCTGTTGGAAGGTGGACCCTCTCGCCGAAGGAGCAAGTCCAAGTAGTCCTCGGTCTTGTACTGCCACTCGCGCAGATAGTCATTTTGACTCTTGATATTTGGTGTCAGCACATGAGACAAGGCAAGTGAATGGTGAGCTTGCCATGGACTTGCGAAGACGAAAAGGCTTGAAGTTACATTCACCTAGGTCGTAGTGTTCATGGTCACCCTCCTCATGAAGTCCTCTGGTAGATCGGTCCTTTGTAGGTGATTTTCTGGGGGATGAATGAACTGATGTTGTTTTGTTGTACCGTCGAGCTTTGACAAATCGTCCCGTATCTCCTCTTGATGTTCGTTTGTTCTCCCATTGAACCAAAGAGGATGTCTTTGGAGGACTCCAGGCCTTTGGCTTTGACTTGACCATGGACGGAAGTGGTGCTGCGTTTATCAGGATGTGTTGTTTGGATTGAGATGCTTAGACTTTGGGACGGTGTAGTGCTTACATTCAACTGCCTGATGCAATGCCTAGTATGTAATAGTTGCTTTGATCTCTCGGTAATCATCAGCATGGATATTCACGGTGCAATTCCAATGGCCGATAGTGATTTGTGTATATGATATGTCAAGAGCACTTCAGATCCTCCAATTTCATGCCACCGACCGACCTATGCATCTACACCACTCAATAAGTCTTGTAGCGATAGGGCTCACACTATTCGGCACAATCTAGCCCTTACGTTCACTTATGACATGGGTGTGTCACTTATGTGAATCATTACTCACATGAGCTTCCTTCCATTTTTTGTTCCATCAACCACATCAACGCTCTCCTACACTTACATTTCCAGGTTCTTTACTCCAAGCTACCTACTGTGATATGCCTCGGACAAAGATCATCACCGGCGATCAGCCTCGGTTGAACGACCAAGAGACAACCACACTGCAGTCCCATGTTGAGGACTGGGAGAAGGCAAGTGGAACTGAGCGACGACAGATCTTTAAAGTGGCCACAAGAGAGGCAAAACTTTTCGCTCCAAAGATGGACAAAGAGCTCTTGAAGCAACGAAAAGAGGTAAGCTTTTCGGCTTTGATCTCGGTCATGCTGCATTACAGTCATCATGCACACAGAGATACAGGCTCAACGATGATGAGTTGGAGGAAGCCCGGGCAAAGGCCGACCAGTGGACAAATCAAGTGCCTGACCCTGTAGTCCAGGCCAAGACAGCTAAGAAGAAGGGCGAAAAAATGATCAAGCACTTCGCGAAAGAGATGTTTACTCAGGCCGGTATGAGACTCTTTGTATTGGGTTCCTGGAAGGATGAGAAGGGTGGCCTACTTACATCTGGGCAAGTTGATACAATCGGTCGGTCAGTCGGTCAGTCATTTTGCTTACATCGTTTGGCAGGTTTGACTTCAATGAACACCTTGAGAGAGGATCCAGCTTCATGAAATGCAAGGACTGGCAGGTCATCTTACCGGCATGGGAAGATTTCATTGGTGATTAATTCGGTAAGTCTCAAGACCATCTGAGAGGCGCTTCATATAATTTATGTTACCTCCACCAAGACCAGGATCAAGACCAAGACGGCATGCTGCTGGGAGGCACTCGCCGAGTCCCGAAGCCTCATTACAAGTTCGACCTGGACCATATGGATTTGCCGATATTGCCCGACATTAAGGGTGTCTCGCTTGAAGTCAAGAAGTCAATGATTCGGTCATTCCTCACCATTCATTACAGTAAGCCCGATGATAGAAGACCCATGCCATAATCTGACACCCGCCGCCATAGGAATATGTTGCGGAAAACGGAAGGTCCCAGTGCCTTGGAGCGACATAATGAAGGGGCAGTCTCGGTTCATCTCCAGCACATTCCTGCCAAATGATATCAAGATCACAGACCCGTCCAAAATGCAACGGAATGAAGCCAATGCCTTGTTGGAATATTGGCTGGACCGACAAGACAACCAGGTTGGACTAACATTGAAGTTCAAAGCCTGGATTGACGACAAGGGCAAGATGCATTCTCCAGTTGGCGAAGGGTCTGATGGCTCTGATGGCGATGCTGATGATGAAGGCTTATGGCCCAGGCCAACTACAAAGTCATCGGCCAACGCTGCACTCTCATCGGCCAGACTTCCAAAAAGGCCGCCAAGGTTCATCAAACAAGCTCCTATCGGTTCTGCCAATGAAGAGTCTAACAACACCGATGCCCCCGAACGTGTGGAGAAAGATGCAATGACAGCACACAGTGACCGGGTGGGGTGCGAGTTGGAGTCAGATGACCGACCGCGACCGAAGAGCTTGCGTAAGAGAGCCACAATTGAGCCTGCCATCATCTCACTGCCAACAGACTTCGCACAAATGGGCCGACCGGTGGTAGAGTTGGTCAGAAAAGTTACTCATAACAGACAAGCCACTACCGCAGGCAAGACCGGCATGCCCACTGAACAGGTGACCAAGGGATCAGTTGATGAAAGTGGTGGCAACACTGCACCCAAAGCCGGCTATGACGCAAGTGGTGCTCATCATGGTGGCCAGCACATTCGTAGCTTCGGCCCACATTCAACTCGTCGGGGTATGGAACATCTTCTTGCAACACCAGCAGCAAATGACCAGTCGACCAAGAAGACCAAGGCAACTAGGAATATATTGCCCGCGGAAAATGACCGGTTGCCGAGAAAATTGCTTGCCACCAGAGCCAGGTCACCGGCGCTGAATGACTGGTCGCCCTCGCCCGCAGTAAATGACTGGTTGCCAAAGAAATCACTTGCCACCAGAGACAGGTCACCGGCGGTGAATGACTGGTCGCCCAAAAAGACCAAGGCTACCAGATCGGTGGCTCGCTCGCTCTCTGATGCACCAGCCAGGGGTACAAGGAGTAAGATTGGCAATGGGCTTGGCGCCCGAATTTGACAAAAGCCCAAGAGATATGCTGACTATGTGTAGTTGTCGGTGGTCTCACACGTCATGTGGCTTGTTCCATTCTGCTCGGTCTTCAATGAGTTTGGTATTTAGATTGTATTTGAACACATGATATATACATTGTCATCTCTACTCTATCTTCTACACTACTGAATTGGAGAATGTCCCCGGCCCATTTTCCTCATTGCTAGCAGCAATATATGCAGGGGATCATCAATCTCGCGGTGCATGTTCATCAGATGTTGGAGTTTTGCGACGTCATCGCTGGCTGCCACAAATTGGTCACGGGCATGCTGGTAATCAGCGATCAAATCCTGGTTGGCGTCCAAGAGATCTCTGCAACCTTGCCGTCGGTCATCTCCTGTAACACGGGGATCCTTGGCATCAGTTCAATGATGAGAAGAAATATAGACCTATGCATTGCAGCATCAATATTTTCTAGCCTGGAATTTGCTCGGTGCAGCAATTCCTCGCCTGCCTCGACTGTCTGACTCGGTGAGCCATCCCTCGGTGCCGGAGATGTGGTCGGCGATATATTCTCAAAACACAGATCATACGGTGCCGGAGTGTCCGCTGTTGGATTTAATCGTCAGTGTCTGTCACTTACATTGATAAAGCATTTGAATGCACCTGCATTGATCAAGTTAATCACCGGTGCAGCAATAGAACCACTTTCAAGGTGATCATCTCCTGCCAATGGTGAATCACCCCAGCACATGTCAAAATCACCTGAATAATATTTATTCATGGTCGTCAGTGCTCATGACCAATGCTCACCTATATATCCCATTGCTTCTGCAGATGCACGGTCATTCCAACACATATCGTATTGACCGGCTCCGCCGGGTATTGCGATAGCGATGGTCTCATTCTCTTTGATGTCCAGCTGGTGGATCAGTGCCACATCAACCTTCGGTAGACCTTCCTCGGCATTCCAACATAGATTATATTCACCTGCTTTCAGTGGTACGGCTGCTTCCGCCGGATCAGTCGCCGCCGGATTGACCTGAGTGTCCCAACACATGTCAAACGCTAATCACTTCGTTAGATGTCTAAAATATTCTAAAGGGACTGGAGTTACCTTGGCTTAGCACGTGCGGGTCAGCTGATGGAGTGTCATTCGGTCGTTCCACTGTCGGCACTTGATCATCCTCGAAATTCCAGGACATGTCAAATCCTAGCGTTGTCAACAACCACTAAGGATCAATGTGACCTAACACTCACTTTCAGTACCGGCATGTTGGGTGGGTAGTGCTTCGGTTTGTGTCTGCCAGGATGGCATGTTTGAAAGTATATAGTTTGTTAGTTTGGGGCCGTTTTGAGAGGAGGGAGTTGTGCACAACTTCGGTGGCACCCACTGGTCCCAAGTGATGAAAAAATTGCAGTCGGTTTTGATGTGGTCGTCCTGTAGCCTTCGAGCATTGTCAACCGAATTCTCGTGGGAACCCATAGAGGTCTTTAGGGAACTTACACTCTGCAGTGGGTAAACAATGAAGAAGTCCGAATGTTGCTGCCGCACTTCGGTCATTTCCGTAGTTCGGCCATTTCCGTAGTTCGGCCATTTCCGTGTTTCGGTCATTTCTGGTGGTCTTACAATGTGGCACCCTTTGTCGCATTTTCTCATTCCTCACTCACATTGAACATCGTCACCGTCACTTCGCATCAATTCTCAACCATGCTGTCACAACACGAATCTGATCTTGCTTTGGCGCTTGCCGACAAATCCCTGCGCGATTTGCTTAGCCGAATCACACACTTGGCAGCTGATGGCCGGGATGTGATGGATCAGGCGCATGAGATTGCACGGCAGCTGGTGTGTCTGTTTTCACTTTCATGATTATTTACCTACTCACCATGCACAGTCTCAAGCGCTGCAGCAGCATGGCAGGACATGCTCGGTCATCTCGCCGTTCCTTCTTTCTGCAGCTGCTGAAATCCGGGCGACCATGAATCAAGGTCTTGCCCCCCAATGGGATCATGTATGCAACGATGATCATCGTATGCAGTCACATCCGTTCTTCCCAAAGACTGCTGGATATCATGCATCGGCATTCCTTTCATTCCAAATGAGTGCGCTAATACCATCACAGAACACACAGCTGCTGCACCTGCCCCTGCACCTGCCCCTGCACCTGCGCCTGAACCGGCACCTGAACCGGCACCGGCACCAGAACCAGCCCCAACAAGGATGTCTGTTCCACCGATCGCTTCACTCCCTCGCATCGGTCATTCCCAACATCCGGTCGTTCCTGGCACCATGACTGACAAGGGCAAACGGTCTAACCGGGGGACTCGTAGAACCAGAGATGACAGCCCTGACGCCAAGTCCAGCAGGAAGAAGCAAAATGTTTTGAAACGTATGTCAAAGGCTATCATCTCCGACACCGAGGATGAGGACAGGCGGCCAACAGGCACCATCATAGTCAAGGTATGTCTTTCTTTCACCATATTCAACTAACCACTTACATGACCTTAGCGGCCCAAGGTTGCTGAATCCTCCGGTGTAGCGCCGGTCAAATCACAGGTAAGCATGGCAGTACTGCCAGTGCCAATATCATTGCTGAGGACTTTGCAGGGTACGACGAAACATGTCAAGCAGGTGAGATTTACCTCGTCCTGTGAGTCTGCCGAACTCAAGACTCTTCAGCCGGCCGCCGAACCAAAGATCGGCTGAGCCCAGCCAAAGGGCAAAGGAAAGGAAAAGAATGTTGACATCGCCGGGCCTATCAGAGGGCGCCGGCCACTGAGGGCCAATGATGAGGAGGAGGTCAGTGAGGCAAGTTCATTCCAGTGACAGAGTACTAACTTTTTCACAGTACACTCCGCCATGCGACAGATGCATTGGGGAGTCTTGCCTCATTGTGGTCAGCAGGAAGGGGCAGGCCATCAAGTCCTGCGCCAAGTGCCATTTTATGAAGGTACGGTGTGAGCGACCGGTGTCGGTCGATACATGCAGCCCTGCAACAATGCGGGCTCCAAAGTCACATCCTCGGCCAAAGGCCGCCCCTGCCTCCAAGTCCAAGGCCCAATCCAGGACCACCAGAGCAACCTTGCGCGCACGTCCACCGACTCCCATGGTGGAATCTGAAGATTCTGTTGAGGATCCCGGTAGGTAATTTCGTTTTTTTGCCATGACACACTCTAACTCACCTTTGCAGAGGTGTCTGTCACCGGCCACGATGATGCCGAGATGGATCTTGTCACCGACGCCGAGCAGCACACTGACATCGCTACTGAGATGTCGGCCGAGGCCGCCGATCAAATCATGGATGACCAGCCTGGAGCCATTGCTTCTGCGGACGACTTCCCCCATGACCATTGGCTGGAGAACACTCACGACTTGCCCGTCCCTCATGTCCCACCAACTCGTGTCGCTGATGCTGTCTCCCTTCCTTCGGCGCCATCAGCACCTACCATCCTCGACCGTGTGCTTGCCCTAACGGCTCAGGTCAATGCCATGCAAATGGCCGATGACAACGCCCTTGCTAGGGTGAATGCGATGGAGCACGATTTTGACGCTCGCATCTCCTCGATGCGTGCCGAGCTTTCGGCCGTGCAACTTGATGTCGGCACCACTGTCACATTGGTGAATGGACTTGTCGGTCTTGTTGAGAAGCTTCGGCAGGAGCGTGTCCTTTCCAATCCATCGTTCCCACCACCCATGGTGAGCCATGGCAATGATTCCACTGCCACCGCATTCGGCATGAGGTACCTCAACGGCGTGTTTGGTCCTTCCATTGCTCCTATGCCCCTTTCTGTTGGCGTCAGTCAAACCTCGGCTTCCCGCTCTTTCAGTCGTCCTGACATGCAGGGCAGCACTTCCATCTCTGGACATTTGTCTTTGGTGTCAGCACATGCCGGTCCCTCGTCTGCTCCTGCTCCAGGTGAATCACATTTTGCTGTCAAGCCACCTCCTTCTGCCGCAAACTCCCCCCCCTGATCACTCAGTTCATTACATAGTTGTACTGTAGATCACTTGTCCGTCGGCGAATTACATCTACATATCACTTGGTTTTAATTGAATTGTTCTGATGTCAATCCTATTGTACATTGACTCCTGTGTGATTTCAATGTCAGCCCAGTTGATCTTGATGTGTTTCTGCCGATTTATTATACATTATATTTGACCGAGATTAGCTTGACCGAGATTAGCTTGACCGAGGTGGTCCCTAGCAAACACATAATGGCAGCTAGTCCATGAAAAACCTATTGACCAACTCATTCATTTGTCATATTTGACCGACGTGGATCTGACAAGTCCATCATGCATGCTCGTCTATTAATACCTACGTATTGACCAACTGGCTCATCTACGATATTTGACCGAGTGCCTTTTGACCAAGGTGGTTCTGCTGTGTGTATTGCGGAAGCTATGCAGTGAACACTGACCGATTGACCGACCCATGTCTATGATTGTTCTATATACTTAGACTCTCGGCCCATCTGTGTATATCGGTACCACCGCCCACTCGGCCTGCTTGTTCGTATCAGGCACATACTTTATACACTACCTACCAAAGTCAATAGAACAGTCTGCACTGGTATACTACACTACACAGTACTATGGGCCCACTGTTTGTATCAGATAAACACTTCCATTGGCCCACCTGTATTTAACACAGCAATACATTCATGGGCCCACCTGTATTTAACACAACAATCCATTCATGGGCCCACCTGTTCATATCAGGTATATATTTCATACCCTACCTACCATATAATACCTACCAAAGGCAATAGGAACGTGTACACTTATGTACTATACCACACACTATGGGCCCACTGTTGGTATCACATATACCCTTGACATGGGCCCACCTGTATTTAACATAACAATATATTGATGGGCCCACCTGTTCATATCAGGTATATATTTCATACCCTACCTACCATATAATACCTACCAAAGGCAATAGGAAAGTGTACACTTATCTACTATACCACACACTATGGGCCCACTGTTGATATCACATATACCCTTGACATGGGCCCACCTGTATTTAACATAACAATATATTGATGGGCCCACATTAGCTGGCCTGTTCAGAACAGGGTACTTTCAACCTTGGCTGTATGTATTATACAAGGTAAAGTGACTGCAGTATGTGCCAGGGTGCCAGTTGCTGTTATTGATGCCAGGACTGGATGCTTCCAGTTTCGCTAACCTCTTGGTAACACAAAAATCTCATCTGGACTTCCAGCGCAAATGAACTGATGTTTGGCTTTACCAGAGGGCCCATCTTCGAATCGCTGCTCACGTCAGTCACAAAGTACACTGACACCAGGAGACCTCACCTTCGAATGTACCCAACGACTACCTTTCCTGTACTTGACTACCGCTTGTGGAGACGCAGCCATGGCTTCCACATTGACAAAGGCAGCTGCCACGAAATTGATTCTGAAACCGGTAACGACTTTGAAGGGTCATGGAGAGTTAATTCAATCCATATCCTACTTTCCTGACGGCCAGCGAATGGTCAGCGGATCTGATGATAAGACCACTTGGCAATGGGATCTGAAGACGCGCACTCAGCCTTCCAGCGCTAACCACAAGAACAATTACGCACATGACATGATGTAAGACCAGCAGAGGCGGCCACCAGGTGCGGCTGGGTTGGTATGTAAATGATACCTGGTATTGTGCATTGTAAGTTCCTACACAAATGATCAGCTATAGTTATAACTTATAAATGTGAAAAATTGTACCTATTGCACAAGACGTCGGACGCAGACACGTCGAGATAGGCATAGGCATGCACAAGCACACAGAAATGAGCAAAGATGCTTGTCAGCAATGTACATACATGGATAAACGAAAACTTAGACGCACCTAGATTGCGCTAGTCTAGGATGGTTAACACCCATGTTCGGAAGCTCGTTGGCTCCCTCTTCAGGTACTGTGAGCTGTGCAGAGTTCTGCATCAAATAGTTCGTTAGATTACCTGCCAAGGGAGAATTCACTTGGGAGGGTTTGGGTTGTCTAGCACATCGAGTGACAAGATCTTTGGCCTTGCTGTGAAGTGAGGTGAAAGATCCTGGGCGGGATTGACCAGACGGCAGCTGGAGATCAGACAACTGCAGAGATATCAGATGTTACGTCGACTGTAGGTCGGCGTGTGCGAACTAGGATAGGTCTTCTCAGCGACGACTCGAGTGAGTCTACTGAAGCTGAGCGTGGTCTAGCCTTGACGGAATGTCAAGGATTCCTCCGGCGATCTCGGTAAGATGGCGCTCGTCGAGATGCAGGGCTAGCGGATACGTGCTAAGTCGTATGGGGGCGACTTAGAAGTGCGGTCTCACACAAGGAAGCTGGTAGGCTTAGATGAGCAAGTTCTGGGGATGAACCTAGTAGATTAAAGTAAAGTCTAAGTACTATAATCTGTGTCTACTTATAGGGAAGTACTACAAGTATTCTAGCTCAGTCTGTAATCAATAGTATATCGTAAATCTATGATAGCAAGACATGAGGGTCAGATAAGATACATGAGGCTTAACCTCTGATCAAGCATGCTGCGCCAAGGGCAGCTGCGCATAGGTACAGGAAGCGCCAAGCGCGCTCCGGATCTTCATGAAGCGACA